TAGCATGCTGCACATATATTTATCACACTGAACAGACATAGTGATGAATTAGAACAGGAGATCACTGTGGATGGTGACTGCAGCCATGAAATTAAAAGATGCTTGCTCCTTCAAAGGAAAACTATGACAAACCTAGACATATTAAAAAGCAGAGACATCACTTTGCCAACAAAGGTCCATACAGTCAAAGCTGTGGTTTTTCTTGTATTTGTATACAGATGTGAGAGTTGGACCATAAAGAAAGCTAAGTGCCAAAGAATGAATGCTTTTGAATTGTAGTGCTGGAGAAGACTCTTGAGAGTCTCTTGGACTGCAGGGAGATCAAACCAGTCAATCCTAAAGGAAATCAACCCTCAATATTCATTGGAAGGATTGATGTTGAAACTGAAGCTCCAATATTTTGGCCTCCTGATGTGAATAGTTGATTCATTGGAAAAGACTCTGATGCTAGGAGAGATTGAAGGTAAAAGGAGAAGTGGGCAGCAGAGGATGAGATGGTTGGATGGCATCACCCACTCAATGAACATGAATTTATTTGAGCAAACTCTGGGAGATAGTGGAGGACAGAGGAGTCTGGCATGCTGCAGTCCATGGGGTCACAGAGAGCTGGACATGACTTAGCAAGTGAACACTGAACAACAGCAAAAGAACAGGAGAGCTGAGTCAGAAGATCTGGGTCTACCTTAAAAATCTGATTCACCACTTGCTGCACCATCTAGGGCAAGTCACATAACCTCTCTGAAATTTGGTTACTTAACTACAAAACTGAGATAACACTTTTAACAATACCCCGCAAAAGACTGTTCTGGTGATTAAGTGAACTAAGTATAATTATAAATGTGAATGTATCTTGCACTATACAGATTATTAGAGACTATAATGACAAAGCTATATCTTCTGCTGGGCTTCCCTGGTAGCTCAGATGTTAAAGAATCTGCCTGCAATGTGGGAGACCTGGGTTCAGTCCCTGGGTTGGGAAGATCCCCTGGAGGAGGGCATGGCAACCCACTCCAGTATTCTTGCCTGGAGAATCCCCATGGACTGAGGAGCCTGGTGGACTGCAGTCCATGGGGTAGCAAAGAGTTGGACACTACTAAGCAACTAAGATATTTAAAATATCTTCTGCTAGATTTTGAGCTCCTTGAGTGCAAAATCAACATCTGGCCATCTTTATATTCCTTCTACTTAACTTACTGCTCGAGCTGCCTGTCGCCTAGATTGGTTTATGACATAAGTTACTATTTCTTGTATTAATAGAACCATATTCTCTTCATTTATTCTCTTAGCCTACTTTATACAATATAAAAGCAAATCGTGACACTTAATTTTTTTGTTGTTGTTGTGTCCATCTCTTTGAGACCCTATGGGCTGTAGCCTGTCAGGTTCCTCTGTCCATGGAATTTTCCAGGCAAGAATACTGGAGTGGGTGGCCACTTTCTACTCCAGGGGATCTTCCTGACCCGTGAATCAAACCCATGTCACCTGCATTGACAGGCAGATTTTTTACCACCAGCAACACCTGGGAAGCCCTTGATAATTGTTTATTGCCTTTGTAATTAAATAGTTTCATCAAAAGGTCTCTGAGGAAATAAACTATATAGTCTATCACTGATTAATTTTGAACGTCTTTATTTTTATTCAACAAAAACTTTTCAGAGCCACTGAGTGATATTTAATCTATATAGTTAAAGGTTCTACAGAAAGAGCATGGGGAGTTGGTACTGACGTAACTGGAGTGGTCATAAAAAGCCTTTCTGAGAAAGTGGCCTTTGAGCATCAATAATGAGAAGGAGCTGCTGCTGCTGTCGCGTCAGTCGTGTCTGACTCTGTGCGACCCCATAGATGGCAGCCCACCAGGCTCCGCTGTCCCTGGGATTCTCCAGGCAAGAACACTGGAGTGGGTTGCCATTTCCTTCTCCAATGCATGAAAGTGAAAAGTGAAAGTGAAGTCGCTCAGTCGTGTCCGACTCTTCGCGACCCCATGGACTGCAGCCCACCAGGCTCCTCTGCCCATGGGATTTTCCAGGCAAGAGTACTGGAGTGGGGTGCCATTGCCTTCTCCGAATGAGAAGGAGACAATCCTACAAAAAGGAGGAGGAATAGCCTTCCAGGCAGATGGAAGAGCACAGACAGATACCCTGAGACAGGGGAAGGCAAAGTCTCTGTGAGGAGCTGAAGGTAAGCTGATACGGTGTGGAGGGAGGGAGGGGAAGTGGTAGGAGGTGAAGTCAAAGAAGCAGACAGAGCTTGGACTAGCAGAATAGAGAGTTTAAATCATGTTCTAATCATAATAGAAACCACTGGAGGATTTTAAGCAGGAGTATGGTATGGATCTGATTGGTTTTTTTAAAAATAGCCCTAACAACATATGAAGAATGTGTTCTGGGGGAGGTGGGAGTGAGGATTCAAAGGCAGACTAGTGATTTCTGTCCAGAACAGAGATGCTGATCTTGATTAGGGTGGTAGTGCTGAAGATGGTGAAGGGTAGTAGTTTGGGGGTATGTTTGGCAGATAGAACTGATGAGTCTAACTGGTGGATTTAATGATGGATTTAATGACAGCAAGTGAGGAAGAGATGCTAAAAGATGACTCTTAGGATTAGGAGCTAAGCAGGCAGAGAGAAGTTCAGCTTACTGAATTTACACAGTACCTATGGAGGTGCTGCGCTAGGCTCTGAGACTACAAAGCCCATTTAGTAAGACACGTACTTGTCCTCAAAAAACCCAGGCTAGTGGGGAGGGCTTCCTCTACCAGTTAATAGAATTACCCTGGTAATTTCTGTTGGTAACTTTTCTGTTGGTGGCATCTTCCGGGATCTTGGGTTTGTTTTTTTTTTTTTCTTGAGAGAAGAGAAAAGAAGGATATGGAAAAAGAACCACGAGGTTAAGATACTGGACAGAAGCAAGGTGCTCAGCTAACAGGAATGGGAGTCACTGTGGTCTGAGCTTCTGCTGTTTCCACCTACTCATACCTGACCAACAGATTACCTATGGTTGAGGATGAATTCAGATTTCTTTTTCTTTTTATTGTAAGTATAACTTTCATGAAATTACTGTATGACTCCTGAATGATGTCTCTCAAGCTTTTTTCTTTCTGGTATTTATTTAATTTTTAATATTTGACCAGTTGATATGTTCAGATGTTTCAGAAATCAAAACAGGACTTCCCTGGTGGACCAGTGGTTGACAATCCGCCTGCCGATGCAGGGGACATAGGTTTGATCCCTGTCTAGGAAGATTCCCACATGCCATGGAGCGACTAAGCCTGTGCACCACAACTGCTGAGCCCACACTCTAGAGCCTGTGCTCTGCAAGAGAAGCCACAGCAGCGAGAAGCCTGGGCACCGCAACTAGAGAGTAGCCCCTAGAAGGTCCGTGCACAGCAACAAAGACCCATGCAGACAAAAATAAATGCATAAATAAATAAACGTAAAAAACAAAGATTTCTATCAGAAATTTTTTAAAAGATCAAAACAAAATTAAAAGGTATATGGTGAAAATTCTCCCTCCACCCTGCTTTTTCCACCCCTTCTTCATGCCCACCCACCCTCATAGGTAGAGATAGTTACTTATATTGGATTTTCCATGTGTCCTGATATTCATGCACATGTAAGGAGTTCTTCTTCTCTTCCCTGCTTACACAAAAGGTGGCATATTATATCTCCTGAACTGTATATTGCTTTTCCTGTTGACAGTGTCTCTTCGAGCTCTATCATATCAGTACTGAGAGAGCTTCCTTATTCTTTTAAACAGCTGCATAGCATTACACTACAGTTTATTTAACCATTCCCCTATCAATGAACACTTGAGCTGTTTACAGTCTTTGCTATTTATTATAAACAATGCTGAGATGAATAACCCAGCACATATATCTGCAGGTATATCTTTAGGATAAATCCCCAGAAGTCTCCCAAACACTTTAATGAAATCTTCCAAAGGAATATTCTAAGGTGGCATGACTAGGTTTCCAAAGTAGAATGTCAACTTTCAAAGGATTAGCTCTCATGTTCCATTAAAAATAATTCCTCATTCTTTGGTCTGCAAATTATAGCTTTTATCATTTCCTAATAATAAAAAAAAAAAAACTTCTGCAATGAGCATTTACTGGTATTTTATCATGTTTAACTATTTTTTAAAATGAACTATTCATTTATTTTTGGCTGTGCTGTGTCTTTGTTGCTGCAAGCCTGCTTTCTCTAGTTGCAGTGTGTAGTCTTCTCTTATTCCTCAGCCCAGGCTCCAGGGCACTTGGGTTTCAGTAGTTATGGTGCATGGGCTCCGTTGCCCTGTGGCATGTGAAATCTTCCTGGATCAGAGATCTAACCCATGTCCCCTGTATTGGCAGGCAGATTCTCAAACACTAGACCACCAGGGAAGTCCAGAAAATGTTAAAATATTTAATCTGCTTCTCCTATAACCAGTAATGGCTGGCGTACTTTTAAAAAGAAGAAAAGAAAGAATAATATTCAGCTTGATTCTGTGCCAGTTAATAAATTGCAAGCTCTAGAAAATACATGAGTTTTCTTAATTCAACATATAGAAGCATCTTTTGAATGAAGACTATGATGGGATTAATGGGCTTGAGTTGAGAGCTTGTAAGGTGTAGACTGCCCCCAAAAGCTCTAGTGGTACCCTAGCCCCAGGTTCAAATATCCTTAAGCCATTTTTTTTTTATTAGCATCCCTTTGCGTTTGTCTCTGTAATTCTTCAATTTCCCATAGTTGCTTTTGGAAAATAGGTGTAAGGGCCTGGTAAAATGGATAGACTTTGGTAAATGTGCTTTATAACTGAGCCTTGTAAAGTGAGCATCCTCTCTTTATGTTAGGCACCTCCCTCCATACTTTTTTTATTATTAGATTCCAGATACATGAGAGCAGGATGGAAAAATCCTAGGGTACTTAGTTTGCATGAAATATTTAGACCTATTTAGGGCATCATCAACTCAATGGAGATGAGTTTGGGCTAACTCCAGGAGATAGTGAAGGACAGGGAAGCCTGGCATGCTGCAGTCCATGTGGTTGCAGAGAGTCGGACACAGTGACTGAACAACAAAATTTAGGAGAACATACAGATGTAGAAATATGTGCAAGTAACATGGCAGTGAAAGCTGCCATTTACGAAATATATGTAAATATCGTAAGAAGCTAGCCTAGCCATATTACTATCACTATTAGAAAATAACATTTTCTTTCCACATAGGACTTCTCTTTGGTTCCATTTCATGTATGGGGAGGTTTGTTTGTTTGTTTCAATTATAGAATGAAAGTATTTAAAAACAAACTATGAGTTGACAATTTCAACAAATAGCCACCTATAAAAGTTTCCTTAGCTCTAAAGTTCTCTTCCTCAGAAACTGCAAAATCTACAAATCATGAAGCTAGAACTGCCCAGTATCTTTGAAGAGTATCTACTCGTAGCTCTAATTGAAACTACCTTCAATTTTTAAAATGTCTCACATGAGGATTCTATAGTCTCTGGGAGACTATAGAGTCTCCCAGTCTCTCATTATTTTTTTCTTTTTTTAAAATGGAATCCACTTCTTTTTTGGTTTTAAATTAATTAAATTTAAATTCCTTCTCATATATTTTGGTTTCTGTACTTGCAATAGTTATCCTTCAGGTTTTCATTAAGCACTAATTCTTCTATGTAAACATTAGGAAATGTCAGTTATACATTCTCCTTTTTTTCTCTTCAGCTGGTAAGACTTGGATTCTAGAAGATATCCAGAATTCCTTCTGAAGTGAGGGATAATACTCAGTAAATTTATTCGTGCTTCTGGTTCCTGCGTGTTTGTGGAGAACATCAGTTCTACTCACCACACTCTTAATTTTGTTCTGTAGACTCTGGTCCTCCCTGCTCTCAGGGCTTGGTGAGAATAGTCATGTCTCCACCCCCATGCTGTGGGGTGACACATGTGACCTTGGTCTAGGTCATCTAGTATATCCTACTCCCCTGGTCACAGTGATCCTTTCTAGATCTGCTAGAAAATTTGGTCCTGGATTTGAACCTCGGGGTAAGTAGCAGCTTGCATCTGTATTGGGTACAGGAGGTGAGAGCTTGTCCAAGAATGAAGCCCATATGGAAGATGCTGAGCTGAGAAATGGAGAGAGAGAAAGCAAGTCCTAGGTCATATTGTTTGAGACCTGGATCAAGCTTCACCTGCACCAGATACTCTAAATTATCCAGTTACATGGGTCAATAAATTTACCTTTTGATTCAGCTACTTTGGGTTATGTTTTTTCAACTTTGGCGAGCAAAGGATTTTTGATTAATGTAACATCTTCAAACAAAATTTGGCAAATTAAACTCATGTTGTGCCCATGGTTTGCCAAATTTTGTGATTTCCCCAGCTAATTCCCAGACTCCTTTCTTCTCACATCTAGAGTGACTTTAGCCTTGCAGCAAACCCATCTAAACACCAAACCTGAGTCTTCTTTCCCTCCCCTGAAAGACTCCTCCAGTTCTATGCTTAAACCCAGCTCACTGGGGAAGTTAAAGAAGGAAGGGAACAGATGGCAACCTGATTCATATTCCTCTTATAGGAATTAAGCCAATTGCTTTTAGGGGTCAGTTCCAGTTCAGTTTCAGCAGTGAATGAGAGTTGTTTGAATCCATTTCTTCTTTAGGCCTGTAATCATCTGCAGTAATCCAAAGTCCTTCACTGGGGAAAATATTTGAGGGAGTTAAAATTTTGTTCCAGTTTGAGGGAACCATGTAATGTAGAATCAAGTTGCACCTGTCTTCTTAGGCCTTTTGTGCTAATAGGGGCAGTATATGGGCAGGATAGGGAGGTGATTACTAATATACTTAATACAAAAATAATCAGCCTAGACTGCATCCATAATAAGCTGTGTCATAAAATCTACTCTTTGGGTTTGCTTTTAATAATTCTAATCCACATGAGAGTAGACTTTGAAACATCAGACTGTATCCACCAAATGACTAAAAGATAGGTTAAGACAAACTTTTAAAATTTTTGCCTCTTTTAGAGGAGCAGGTGCCTTATAGTGAAACACTTATGGCCTGTTTTTGAAAATTATTTCTAATTAAAGTGATAGACTTAGTGAACAATTTGGGGACATGATTATCCTCTAAAAAGTAAAAATCTAGGTTCAGAATATCAACTGGACCTTGGTATATATATAATATAAGCAATACTATATTAATAATATATAATATAAAAATGTTATATATAATATAAATAATTACAAGGCACTTAAAGAATGCTCAGCTTGTTCCAGGATATTTTTTTGTTAGTGGGTGGTGTACAAACAAGAGATAGAATGACAGATGCCATCTATATGTTTTACAAAAACACCTCTTGCTTGTGCATGTGTAAGCAGAGTCAGGTTTGACAAAATGTAAAAAGATGTCTTTACAGATGGCGCATGTGAGGAGGACAGGTCTTCTCAAGCTGATAAGGCTGTAAACGCAATTGTCATGAGTATGTGCAAGTCTGCCACACCTGTTCTTCAAGGAAATTCCCACTGGTAAATATGAATCTTCAGAATCAGAGACCAAGGCTAGCTGAGCTTAGTTCAGTTTCCCATTAGTTCAAGAGAGACTATGACCACCAAAATGGCTTTTTGTGAGTCTTTCTGAGACTTTTCTATTTCCCCTGACTCTGTGTTATTTGTGGTTAAAATTTAAGATTAAAATCCTCTTACTTGGTCCTTGAAGAAATAACCATGATTAATCTTATAGCATTAAATTCATTGGTGATGTGTTTTGAAGCGAATAAACTCCTGCAAAAATAAACTGCAAAAAGGCTTGGATATACAGAATTTCGATGCTTCAAATGATGCAATTTTCTATAATATTTAGCCTGCCATTTTTAGTTTGGTATTTGTATAATAGGAGATTTCGAAGAAAAAGCTAGAGAGGCTAATTTGCTTGGTACTGCTTCTGTTCTTTTGTTCTGTTAGAATCTAAAATTAACCAACATCTGCAGTGTCAACAGGGACTCCATATGGCATTCAAGTTTGTACTTTTCCTAAATAATGCATTTGAAGCAATGTAATCTGAGAGGAATTCTGAGGTGATAATGAATAGACTGCCTTATATTGTATAGCACTGGATAGTTTCAAAATGATTTAACAACTAGGACTTCATTTGATCTTCACAACAATGTTAAGAGGCAATGAGATCAGGTATTTCTTATTCTTGTCAAACAGATGAGAAGACAGAAGTCCAAAATATGGAAGAGAGATGACCACAGTCACAAATCCGGTGAGTAGCAGACCCCGGCCATACTCTAATCTCATGCCCTTTCGCCAAATTACTAGGATCAAGTTTTTGACTCAAGTTAAAATAGCATGTTTTCAAAATATTAGATCCCTCAAACAACTCTGTAGGGAAATGGAAAGGACTCAATGCCAGACATAAATAATAAACATGCAGGTTTAGTTTCCTGGAGTTTAATGGATTTCATTTGCTCAATTAAGTTCACAGAGGACTTCCACTAAAGTTCATCTAGTTACTCTTGTGAGTTCCTATTTTACCTACCAAAAAAAAGTTTTTACCAAAATGTTTTTTCTTCTGTGAAATCACACCTCATAAACCTTTATGTCATATCTAGAAAATTCAAAAGCTTTCCAGTTAGATGTTGCAACTAAGAATGTTTTCCTCCCAGTAATAAATTATAATTTACCTCTACCTGAGTTTTGAAACATTTTTTCTCAAGCCAAATTCCTGTAAATGTCCACAGAGTAAATCACTCAGGGTTTCTAGGACGAGAAAGAAAATAGTTTAAAGTCAAATAATGTATTATCTTGTGACTGATCCACAGGCATAAATTTCAAAGAACCCTATTTTTGAAAGCATAAGCAACGTTATTGCTAATCCACTTTAGAGAAATTTCTAGCTATGTAATACTACTATTTCTACTTTTAAATGAAGAGAAATTCAGTTGCTTCCATTTCTTTAAAGTTGGAGACTTAAAAATTATGGCATTCTTGAAGCGGAACACTGTGAGTTATATCAAAAAAGGTACTGGCGTTCACAAACACTGACAGGCAGATGGATTTCCAACAAGTGGAAACACAGAGCTACACTGGCAAAAGGAGCAGCCAGCAAGCATTTTAATCGTGATTTGGCTCATCTCTGCTGGTTCTGACTCCACAGTTCATCTTTAGGAAGCACCTTCTACCAAATGGAAAGCTGGCAAGAAGTAGTGCTTGAGATTGCTGACACTGAAACAACCAGAGCTTACTTAAAATTAAAAAAACATTTCCCCCTATTATTTGTTTGGATATGTCTCAAAGAACCCCAAACAGAAAGGCAATATTTAAATTTTGTCCAAAACATTCTTGCAATTCTAATACCCTACCTACTCTGTGTCCAGGATTGGTGGAAATACACTAAGCATTTTTGAAAAGATTATCTAACCCAAGTAGAGGAATGTTATCTTTCTATGAATGAGCAAATTTAGATATGGGAGTGATGAAAAAGAGAAACTGAGAGAGACAAAGGGGATGACTGGGAGTGTACTTCACTAGAAAAAAGTAATTGGGAGAAATTGGGTGGAGTTGGAGAATTTGGGTAGAAAAGTTTTCAGAGAGGGGAGGTTTAAATCATTTGACTAGGCAATAACTCCATCTGGCTAATAATGGGCATCTGTAAAGAAGGAGCCAAGGGTGATAGAAAGGAATGACTATGGTGGTACCATTTGGTGGTAATCTGACTGCAGAGAGACAGCGAATGCAGAGATGGGAACAAGGTAACAAAAGAAAAGGAAGTGCCCAAGATGCCATAAGAACCTAGACTGCAGGGTTTTTTTCTTCTTCAGTCAAATCTAGTTTTTCTCTTCCCTTTCCACCATCTCTACACCTCTGCCCCACGCTGCAAGAAAAATCTGTGTTCACAGACCCAAGTTTGTTTAGCTTAGTCCTCCTTCACCACTGAATGATTTGTGGAGACAGACTGGTAACCCCTTTTTAGCAAGGACTTCAGCATTAATCAATCAGAATTAGAATGATATAACTTTATTCCCAGTCAACCCAATTACACCCACAGACCTCTTTGAGCTACAGCGCAGTAATGTGGTGTCTTGGCGATTCTGCCGCTGATTAATGGACTGGACAGAGAAGTGTTGGAAGGGCCAGTGCAACTCCTGCAATAGTCCACTGCTTTTCTGCCAGATCGGCTTTAAAAAAAAAAAAAAAGCTGATCATATCAAACCATGTTAGCCAATACCTGTATTGTTTGCCTGAACTATAAAGCACAACAGTACATCTTGTTCTTTTGCAGTTCGTTATTAGAAGAAAATATAAAGAAGAATTAGACCATGCCTATAATATTCAAGATAGCTAGACAAGCGTGCATACTCCTACACTGCCCATTGGAACATGTCATTTGCACACTGATATGGTAATGATTATTCTCAAAGTTAGATGCAGTATCACTCCCTCTTCCTCTCCCTGCCAAGATTCAGTGTCTCTCAGAGGCAGTGGGACAAGGACACGGTCTTGCCAGCTGATGCTAAGGAGGACCAAAGACTCAAGGACCAGCTGTGCATATAGCTCATTCACCTGCCTCTCACAAATCACCCAGTCCACACACATCATCGCCACAGGAGGAATCAGGTTCTCCAAGGTCATCCTAAGGATGACTGTGGAGGGTAGCTGGACCCATGGGATTTTGCCTTGTTTTCTCCACAGATACCTTTACAATGGCTTGTGGGGGCCTGTGCACTCTCAAGAAACTGATTCCTCCTGTGTGAAAATGTAGAGAGCCTGGATGAATGGAACATATCCTGACTGATCTCTGAATACCTCATCCTGGAGGGAGTTGTTCTTGCTCTCACAAATAATTCAGCGCTCAGTTGATCAACACATTTAAAGGAAGTTTCCAAACATGTCTGAAACTCTAGATGCAGAGGCTTTAGTGCCAATTAACAAAGGCAGTTTAGAACAGAACAGAACAGAGGTAGGAAATCAGGAAAGTGAAGAAGCAGTGTGATAGAGTAGAGACAGCCAGCTCTGTCAGCAACTAGCTGTATGCCTTTGGTGATTATGCCCGCACCTCAGTTTTCCCAGCTCTAAAACGAAAGAAACTTGGTGAGAAAAGCGCGTTTCTGGTGTCTCTCTGTATGTTCTCCCTTACACTGAATTCACTGAGGGTATACGGCTGCCAGCCCTCCTCGTCATGCTTTTCCCTCACCAGCCCTTTCTGGCCTCCACGTTTTTTCACTAGGGATATTTTATTGAGAAAGACTGGTGGCACCTGGCGAAATATCATATGCTGTCTCCCAGATTCCTGAATAATTTCTTCTAGATTGGAAGGGAGTATCTTTCATTTCCAAATACCTGTATCTAACGTCAGCCTTGCCCTGAGGAGAAACACCACACAGCTGGAGGGGCGAATCTTTACTTAGCTTCTCTGAGGCCGTGTGCTAATAAAACAAGCAAACAAACTAAAACTTAACAGATCTCTTATGTGTTTGTCTTTGTTGTTACTGCTGCGGTTTGATTGCCGAAGAATGTGTTTACCATGTCAGGACCGTGCTGCCCTTAGAAAGGGGTAAAACACTTAGTGCAAGTCAAAACCTCGCCAGATAGGTTGCCAGCTTTTTTGATCTCTTATTTGACACAATTTCATCTGCGTTTTTCGTGGCAGAAGATATATGTTGCTATGTTCTTCTAAGGCCATTTTCCTCATGTAGAGTGAGTCTCAAATATTTTGGAAGGAAAAGTGATGTGTTTTGTTTTGTTTTGTTTTGTTGTTATTATTTGTAACTTAGCCTATAATTTTTATTCATTCAAAATAAATCCTTAGGTCCCTTTGTATTTCACACCAACTTGGTAAATAAAGGAAAATGGTATTCAAAAATCTTCCCTTTCCACTTACCTTTTTGAGTTCTCCTATATAGCTGAGGAATTGCCACTCTGAGAAGTTGGGGGAGGGGAGGGAAGAGCATTCCTCTAATTTCAGGCCTCCTAAATCTGGGATTCCTTATGTTGTTAAAGAACTAAGCATTCTGAAAATTCTGCAAAAATTAATGCAAATATTGTTCTCCCAATAGAACTACTAAATGTGGTCATATGGTCTATCTCTTACAGGAGGATTTATTCCTTCTTTCTTAATTAAATGAGAAATAAAAGGAAGTCATGTACAAGCTTTCAGAGCAATGACTATAATATAAAAAATGTAGTTCCAGGGAAAGAAAGAACAGAAAAAATGTTGAAATGTGGAAATAATAGGAGGGCTTACTCAAGTAGATTCTTATGCTCCATCCAAGCACTGAAAGAATTAAGAAAAGCTCTAAAGAAAGGTAGAAGAATGCAGACAATGGAGCAAAGCAGTCAAGGACAGGAAGTAAGAAGTGTATAGAGTAATAAATTGGAATCTGGGATGATTCTTAACTAAATCACTTTCAAACTGCAATTTCCAAATAAAAAATGAGATTTAAAAAACTCACTGCTAGGAAAGAAAACAAAATGAATTTGTAAAGAAAGCCCATTTTGAACAAAGTCTTCAGAGATAAGGTCACCTGGCTAGAAAAGAGTTGAAACAAAATAAAGTGACACAGGTGAGGACATTTGCTAAAAAAACAAACCATCCTGACTTTGCTACATCCACCCAATGTATCAGATACCTCCCAAAGGCAAGTGTTTTAGCATATGTGCTCTAGTTCCGAAAGGAAATGGATTTAGTCAACTGTGTTAGTGCTATGTTACTGTGTAACAAATATTCCAAAACAGAGCTTACAACTAAATTTATTATCTTACAGTTTCTTTCTGTCAGAAATACAGGTACAGCTTAGCTGGTTTCTCCCGCTCAGGGCCTTTTACAAGACTGCAATCAAGGCATTAGCTTTTTTAAAAATAACAATAAAATACACACATACTTTTGAAAAATACAAAAGCACACAAAATGACAATTGAATTCTCACCCTTTGACTCCCTCCCTACTCCCACTCAACCAAAGATTTTTACCTGTTTCTTAGATATTCCTCCAAATATTTTAAATGTGAATGCATTGTGTGTCTATGTATGCATTTACATATATGGGATCATAATAATATTGTTGTATATCTTGGTTTTTAAAATAAGCATAATGACATGTCTGGGAACGTGTATAGATGAGACCCATCTCAATTTTTTTTCTTGATTGCATAGAATTCTCTTAAATGGCTGGCTGTTTTACAATTTATTTACTGAGTCTCCACCTAATAGACATTCATATCCACCCCTCCCCCAACTTTTCGGCTATTTCAAACAATGCTGCAATGGGCATGCCTATCTCTGTATACTTTGGTGAATTTCTCTTACAGACAAATCCCTAGCAATGAAATTACTAGGCCGAAGGATATGTTCATTTAAAAAATTTAAAGCCTCTTTTTATTATAAAATACAAATACAGAAAACCAAACAAAATAAATGCAGAGTTTAATTTGTTATAAGGCAACACCCCCTTAACCATCACTCAGGTCATGCCAGCCTTCCATGTGCTCCATGATTACAACTGCCTCCCTCCTTGATATTAACCACTATACTGATTTTTCTAGAAATCAATTTCTTTTGTGGTTTTACCACCCAAGTGTCATCCATAAATATGATAGTTTAGTTTTTTTGTCCATTAAAAAAAAAATCTTTCAAATCTCTTTAAATTTGCAGTTTTCCCTTTCAAACTTTTCTTTTCCATGCAAGGGCTATTATCACAGGAGCCCAAATGCTTTTCAGCAAATACCTCTTGGCTGTTATTGAACTTTCCCATCCCCTGACCTTTGGATACACTGTTTCTCATGGATTTCTCTGCTTCCTCATGCATACCTGCTGATAACAGGCATGTCTTCTGGCTATCCCATTTGGTTGGTATTTTGATGTTCACAAAGCTACTCTATCACCTAAGCTTTACTGTAAATATTTTCAAGGGTTTTGAGTTTTGCTATCCAGTTATTTATTTTGGGGAAGGGATCCAGGGAGATTTAAAGCTATGCTACCACTTCATCTTCCCAGAATTTCCTCCTCATTTAAAAATTTGGTTCAGTTCATTTCAGTTGCTCAGTCATGTCCAACTCTTTGCGACCCCATGGACTGCAGCATGCCAGGCTTTCCTGTCCATCACCAACTCCCGGAGCCTGCTCAAACTCATGTCCATTGAGTTGGTGATGCCATCCAACCATCTCATCCTCCATTGTCCCCGTCTCCTCCTGCCATCAATCTTTCCCAGCATCAGGGTCTTTTCCATTGAGTCAGTTCTTTGCATCAGATGACTAAAGTATTGGAGTTTAAGCTTCAGCATCATTGGAAGGACTCATTGAAGTCCTTCCAATGAATATTCAGGACTGATATTTCCTTTAGGATGGACTAGTTGGATCTCCTTGCAGTCCAAGGGACCCTTAAGAGTCTTCTCCAACACTACAGTTCAAAAGCATCAATTCTTTAGCGCTCAGCTTTCTTTATGGTCCAACTCTCACATCCATAAATGACTACTGGAAAAACCATACCTTTAACTAGATGGACCCTTGTCCACAAAGTAATGCCTCTGCTTTTTAATATGCTGTCTCGGTTTGTCATGGCTTTTCTTCCAAGGACCAAGTGTCTTTTAATCTCATGGCTGCAGTCACCATCTGCAGTGATTTTGGAGCCCAAGAAAATAGTCTGTCACTGTTTCCATTGTTTCCCCATCTATTTGCCATGAAGTGATGGGACTGGATGCCACGATCTTAGTTTTCTGAATGTTGAGTTTTCAACCAGCTTTTTCACTCTCCTCTTTCACTTTCATTAAGAGGCTCCTCAGTTCCTCTTTGCTTTCGCAAATTAATTAAAATTTGGTAGATGTGATCAAATTACCTGGAGGATGATGTGCTTTCTGCGGACATTTGCCTAATATTTAAAAAGTACTTATTTACTTTTGACTGTGCTGGGTCTTCATTGCTGCGCAGGCTTTCTCTAGTTGCTGTGCACGGCTTCTCATTATGGTGGCTTCTCTTGTTGAAGTGCACTCAGTCTAGAATGTGCAGGCTTCAGTAGTTGCAGCTCACAGGCTTAGTCACCCAGTAGCATGTGCGATCTTCCCGGACCAGGGATCAAACTCATGTCTCCTGCATTGGCAGGCAGATTCTTAACCACTGGACGACCAGGGAAATCATGGACATTTACTTTAAATTAATAGACTTCCTATTCCTAAATAGCAGAAAGAAAATAGTGAAATCTTAGGAAGAGACTGTATGTCCTATGCATTTTCATTCTGAACCAATGTCTGTGTACAGATATCAAAGAGGTTTGTAAATAAGAGCTGGTAGGATCTTCAGTTCTGTAGGATCTTCATAGAATCTTTATGCACTGCTCTGAGATGAACAATGCAACTGGAGGACAGGGGGACACACTGCCTTTCAGAGACCAAATCAGGAGGACATGCCTATAGATCCTTCCAGAAGTCACAGTGCCTTTGAAGCAGAAACTGAAGATCTCATGGGGTCAAGTTTTAATACGAATATGTTAGAGGAGTCTATTCGGGCATCTCTCAAACCATAGGTCATATGTCTGTTTTTTTCAGCTTTCTTAAGTCAGCTGGGAGGGACAGTTGGCTTTTGTTATATTCTTCTATTTCAACAGGCTTTTCATGAATGACATGCAGCCACTGACAGGGACTTCTGTTATGTTCTCAAAAAAATTGCCTTTTTTGGTCCTCATATTTGGTTTATGTCTATACTGTTAAATAGAGTCCAAAACCTCTAAAATTAGCAACTCTCATAGTATTGACTAGTCAACTAGCGCAGTTATCTAAGAAAAAGAAAACATTCGGTATTTGACTATCTTTCCAGCCTGATGTGAGGAAGGCTTCCTAAGTCATTGACTAGTTACGTATCTTAGAATATTAGACTCAGCAATCTTCATATGTTTGGGTCAACATGCTTGTCCCTGTGAATTTCGTGTTCACTCCCAATTCACTGAAATATGATGCCACCTACTCAGTGGCTTTTGTATGTAAAGGTGAAGATCCCATTTACATGTCCATGGAGCGCTGCTGGCGTTGAACCTGTCACTAGAAAACTCAGGATGAAACTTCAGTAGAGGCTTTTTGGGGAAGTTTGGAGTGCAGTGATGAGTCCTTAGAATAGAAGTACTTAAGAATGGACAGTTCAATGAAAGATTAAAGACGCTCTGGACAATTTTCTAATTTTAACCTGTTTGTTTTTTTTTTAAAAGAGCTTTTCCTGAATGAATGGGTGTAATCCTGCCTTTTTAGAAAATACACCAATGAAATATTAAAAAGCATCATTTTTTAGAACTAATTAATTTCCTTAAATATATATTGCTGTCTTATTTGTGTTAACTCTGCAGAGTACTAGCCCACAAACTATCTAGAAGATCCCAACAGGACTATTACCTCCTAAAATCTTAAACCCATACACTCCATCCATTCCTTATCAATCCACTACGTGATTTCTATTCATCCATCAAGAACATTCATAAAACTAACTAAACTG